TGATTGTGATTCTCAAATTTGTTGCAATTTCTCATCTAAACAAATATTACTTTCTTACTTAATTTTTATTATTTTTCTTAAAAGGGACCCCTGACATTGTATTATCTTAGACTTCATATTACCTGAATTCAGTGTTGTAAGGGTGAAAATATCTGCTAGAAGTAAGCACTGAATTTAGCTCTGAGTTTCCCAGTAACCAGCATGATAAAGAATGTTATATACTTCTCGTTATGGCAAAAGAGAAAATAAACCATAACACTGATTGTAAGAAAATAGATTGAAATTCCCTAGAAACAAGACGAAGGATAGAAAAAGCACTGGTCTGGGTTCTCCCAACTAGTAATATGACTTTTGTTGTTAGCTGATATTGAGTTGGCCCCCAATGCATGGTGAACCCATGTGCAACGAAACAAAATGCTGTCCAGTTCTGCATCATCCCCATGATCAACTGCAGGTCAGACCTTTGTGATCCAGAGGGTTTTCATTGGCTGATTTTCAGAAGTAGATTGCTAGGCCTTTCTTCCTAGTCCATTTTAGTCTGGAAGCTCTCCTGAAACCTGTTCAGCATCATAGCAACACACAAGCCTCCACTGACAGATAGGTGGTGGCTGTTCATGAGATGCCTTGATAGGAAACTGAACACAGGTCTCCCACATGGAAGGGGAGAACTAAACCACCAATGCACCAACGTGACTCTAGGAAAATAAATTAATACACGTCAAGGAAAGAAAGGTTTTTTTCTGAAATGAAATTCTAGAAGAAATTTCCTCTGTAGGGTTTTATATAATAAATATTACGTGATGAAGTGCAGCCTTCAACAATGTCTTATGGAAAGGTCTTTTACCTGGCCTGAGATTCTGTGTGACTAGCCCTGCCCATCTCTCCATCTGCATCTTTCACCACTCTCTGTCCCTGAGTTCTTTTCTCCAGCCATTCTGGACATCTCTCCCATTGCCGTCAAATCCCACTGACTCATAGTGACCCCATAGGACAGAGTAGGACTTCCCCACAGTGTTTCCAAGGCTGTAAATCTTTACTTTTCGACTGCCACATCTTTGTCCCATGGAATGACTGGTGGGTTCAAACCACTGACCTTTTGGTTAGCAACCGAGTGCTTAACCACTGCACCACCAAGGCTCCATATATAAACTGATCTTGAATATGTATAAGAGAGTTCCTATAGCTCAAAGCTTCAAGAAGTAAACCTACCTCTGAGGGTGGTGCAAATAAATAACCATCCACCAATAGCTAGCTACTCACTGACTTCACAAAGTCACTTTGGTATCAGTAGATCAAAAGCTGGATTTAAACTGAATAGAATCTGACAAGCGACATGAACCATTTTGTTTTTTCTATATTCTATTTATTTAGAAGTTTGATTATCTCTCTGGGCATTTTTTTCTTTGCTTGTTTGTTTTCTGCTGTTTTTTAACAATCACAATTAGGTGAAACATTCGTCAGAAATCTTCAGGAAATGTGCCAGTGGCCAATAATAAAGCAGCTATTGAGCAAGCCCTAATAACAGATAATGTTTATTTAATGTTGAGCTATGTGCTAAGATCGCTTTAAATGAATTGTCTCATTAAAGTTTCAACAAATCCATGAAGGAAATACTGTTAGCATCACCATTTTACAAATAAGAAAATTGAGGCTTAAAGAGATTAAGCCACTTCACCAAGATCTTCAAACAAATAAATTGTGGAAGCCGGAATTTGAATCCACTACTGAGCTCTGACTGAAAAAATTTTCTATCCCTGTATCTTGTGCAGGATGGATGAGCACCTAAACCAGGGCTTTGTATGAAGAAGCCATTTAGGAAATGTTTGTGAAATGAACCATTATTAACCAAGTAATATGTGGGGGACTGAACTGTACAGATTAGACTGTCTGTGAGACAGTTTCTCACATTTAGGGCCTGAGAATATGCTACTCTAATGGTTTTGAGAGAAGTCAAGGTTGTGGATTCTTAGACACAATTTGACCACAAATAACAGAGCCTTTAGACACTACTTTATTTCAAGTGCTTCATTCAGTGATCCTGCAGTGCTGGAGTGCTGTGCTAGTAATAATTCCTAGAACTTCAGATGGACACTTTTGCTAAGAAGAGGATCTATTTGCTCTGGGAACTGTGACTGCATTTATTACTCTTAAATCCCTAGTAAATCCCTGTAAGGTGTAACGTAGAACCATAAAAGGACCTTCATGTATTGATCAGTCAGTTATTAATTCAGTGCCCGTGAGGCGCCAGGCAATTTCCATACTTTATTTATTTCTTAGAAGGACCTTAAAAAAAAAAAACTTGTTGCCCATCGAATCTGTTCCCACTCAAGGTGCCCTCATGCGTTACAGAGTAGAACCACTCCACCGGGTTTTAAATCTAGGGCAACAAGAGAATCTTACCTATTGGAGGCAGGGAAAAGAGGAAAGGTCACAGATCCCTGGAGGATATAGATTCTCTTTAAGGAAAAAAAAGTGCACTTATATAGAAACACACAAATCTTATATATAATTTAATAGTTTGGCAAACCCCAAGTTAAGAAGCTATGTTTTAGGAACTAGAGGGGGGATATACAGAAAAGGGGAGGGGGAGAGAGGTAAAGTTAAAAAAAAAAAAAAAAAAAAAGCCAAATCATAAACATGTTGTAATTGCTTGGAGGGAAAAAGAATTGATGAAATAAGTAGAGATGATTGGAGTAAAGGAGGAAAAGTCACAAAAGATTTTATGGAGTTAAGCACTTTTTAGTGGTTTATTAAGAAAAATGAAAAAAGTTTTTTTTTTTTTTCCCTGTCATAATGCACCACCTCTAAGAGTTCACTAATTTAATAGCTTTAGTAACATGGATTATTTCGTGACCACTAACCACTCTTGTGGCAGAGGGAACACGGGTAAGTAGAGAAAGCGGTCAAAAATGAGGTTTAGCGGCAACTCCCAATAACCTGTACGGCTAAGGCCAAAATCAAACGTCCGGCTTTGACTTGAATTGTCACAGGCATAGGCCAGAGTCGTCCAGTGTCATAACTCCCATTTTACCTCCCAGCATGCGCTGTTCCCTAGGTGTGTTACCACTTGGAAATTCATCTCAACATACGTACAGTATAACTACACACAGTGTTGTTATAATTGTTACTCAGTTTCTACAAAATCAGACAAAGATAGCCAGGCATTTTGAGCAGATGTACCTTTGAACATCTTAAATACATACACTTCAGAGGTATTTCTAGCTTAATTTAAAGTCAGATTAAATTCTGGTGCAATTTTATTCTTCGTGATACTAAGTGGAGGAAAAGCTAAGAAACACAGTGTTACTTGGCCCAAGAGGAAGGGCATGGTAGCCTTCATCACCTTGGAAGATGAGTAACCACTGGATGACCTGATATACACAGTCATACTAAGTAGGAGCCAACTTTTTGCATCAGATTCAAACGCTCTTAATTTTAAAACGTGAACATTAAAATCAGCAAACAGCACTACTACAAATGTTTCCTCTTGAGGAGCCATAAGAGAACAAGAGAATCCAAGTTCAGCAAAGATAGCAAAGCTCCCTTTTGTCAATGAAAGTATAATCTTCCCACCCATTTAGAAGTGAAAACCTTTATTATGGAAAGTCAGATTTCAGGAAAAAATCCGTATCACGACCTCTTCAGTGAATTTCTCAGCTCATATTTTCATAAGGTTGTACTAGCATGAAGAGCTGAGAGTTTGCAATTTTATCCAGTTCTTATAAAACTCTGAATCTCCAGTGTCTGAACTACATTTGACTTCAAAAAAAAGAACACTATGTTTGGGTAGTCTTATTGAATATAATACAAATGAAATTTAATCACTGACTTGCCCATGGATATGACATTCCAGTTAATTTTAATTGTATATATTATATAATATTAAATTTAAAATGTACATATTGACCTGCCTCTTGCTGATTGTCAAAGACTTATGACAATAGCATATAGTTAATATTCACCTTTTGTTTCCTAAATATCTTTGTATAAACAAAATTTCTTCATTTGAAAAGCCGCAAACTTACCAGGCAAAGCATCTTCTAAATCTTACTGCTGTAAGCTCATTTTCCTGAACTGTTATTATACATAATAAGAGACTTGATTTGACAGCTCCTATAATAACACATTGTAAATTTTACATTGAATATGTTTTCTTTTTCTTTTTTTTTTTTTTTTACCTTAAACTCTTGTGATGGCAAAACCATTTTCCTCAAAGCTGATTGGTTGTGCAGGTCTACAACAGTGCTTAAATGTGACCTTGCTAACCCAAGCTTTCTGACAAGGAGGAATCCTTTTATTTTAAGCCTTTTTAGTTCTGAACATGACACCCGCATGAAGAATTTTCGTTTTCTTTGAAGAAATAAAGGTGTCTTGCTCCTGGAGATCTCCCTGACTTCAGATATTTGTAGTCATTTCTACCGTAGACCATTAGAAATATATTTCAAAGATAGGCTAACAAAGTCAAGTACAAGTTATTTTATGTATATTGCAGCTACTAACTGGCATTGGGTGAGTATTAGAGATTACCAGCATCAATTATAAAGTACCAAATAATGAACTTAATTTCACAGATTCTGGATTTCCTTGTTACATTCCTTGATAATGGTTGTATAATGAGTATCTTCAAACTAATCTTCTGATAAAACTTAATATTCCTCGGTTTATGTGATGTATTTGTTTTTCTTATACGTTTTCTTACAACCTGTTGAGAACTCGTTGCATACTATGTTTTGTGCATTTCCCCATAGAGCAGTCAGGTTTTCTCAACATTGTACTAGAAGGATCTCAAAATATTTTGCCTGCTGTATCATTTTCTCCCTGATTTAGCTTTCATCCAACTCTTAAAGCAACAGAAGATGAAACTTCATTTGGGGGACTTAAGAGTATGGATAAAATAATTAGCATGACATGTGGTTCCTTAGTTAGAGCTGAAATTTTGTTATTCATTTTATTTGTTTGATTTCTATATTTGAGTTTCTTATTCTTCTAAATCTATATATTTGTTAAAGGCTTATGAAAATTTTGGTGAAAAAATGCTGCTGCTGCAGTGCAGGCATGGAGCCTCTTTTTCTAAACTAGATAACTTGGTGAGTATTTTCATTCATTTTTTTCCCAATACATAAGGGCCGCATATTAAGCTAGATGTTGTCAGAAGTACACTTGAGAGGGAAAAACACTATTTAAATATGCAAGAAGAATCACAGAGCATCCGAGTTCACAGGTGGAATGTAAGTACGAATGTACACAATTATTATAACCAGTAAACAATCATTATGAGTGTTATTTTCAATTCAAAAAAAATTAGCCATAGATTTTCATCTAATTATTTGACTTTATATTATATATTATATATTTATTATTTGACATAATATATATTAATTTTACAAAACAGAAAATGATTGGCATTTTATATTTGCAAAATAAAAGACCGTATACTCCTACATGAGTGTGTACTATAATAGAAACATTATCAAGAATCTATATGACATTGCTACTATAGAGATGCAATGGCTGATTAAGCAGAGAAAAATTGAATGCCAAAAAAACTTGGGCCATAATCTTGGAAAGTAGAAAGGAAAGTATTCACCAGTATTCTTTTTATTGACTTAATTGTGTTGTTATAAGCCAATACTAAACCCACTAGTTTCAATTGTTGTTATTTTTAATGCTCTGGGATGTTAAAAGTAGCCCTGGTGGCACAACGGTTAAGAGCTCAGCTGCGAGATTACAGCCTAGGAAACCCTATGGGGCAGCTCTACTCTGTCCTGGAGGGTCCCTATGAGTCAGAATCAACCTGACAGCAATGGGTTTTGGGTTTTTTAGGATGTTCAGATTCTGAAAATCTTTAATTAGCAAGAAATACATTTACATACTACAGCTTCCTTTGTCTAAAATTACACCCTCTCAATTTCTCTAATATACAAAAGATAATTGATTGCACCTACTTGTGTTATTCAGAAAAAAAATTAGGAAAAAGTAGATTATAAAAAGCCAGAGCGTCTCTTAGTTATATGTTCCCATGGGAAGCAATCAAGGGGGAGCATTGGTTCAAATCACTACTAGATGTATTTCATACCCTGAAAAAAGAAAGAAGGAACAAAAGGAATGAACAAATACTGGGTGACTATATGCTGGTTAGGTGCCCTGATGGCACAGTGGTTATGCTAACCAAAAGGTTGGTGGTTTGAACCCCAGCCACTCCGCAAGAAAAAGATGTGGCAGTCTGCTTTCATAAAGATTATAGGCTTGGAAATCTTATGGGGCAGTTCTACTCTGTCTACTCTGTTTGATAGCATCACTGTGAGTTGGAATGTACTCGACAGCAACGGGTTTGGTTTTTGGTTTATATGCTGGTTACTGTGCTAAGACTTGGGTTGTATCTGATATGCCATGAAAATGAATCATTTGGATTATAACATTCATTTTCCTCTATTGTATATGCAAATAGGAACAGATTTTTCTTAAGGAATTACCTAAATAATTGCTTCAGAGTCAACCTTGTTCAAAGATGTAAATAAAAGTCTTAATTATACAAGACTTGTATAATTAACTAGAGTGAGATAAATGAAATTCATAAAAACAATCTCCAAACTTCTCATGTCTATAATTTCAACTTTTTCCTGTTTAATCAAAGTATCTAACAAATAGATAAATTTACATTTCTACCTATTTCCCTGACTAGCCCTGGAGCAAAAGTGATTTTTTAAAAGATGAAATAATAATAGTACATAATGATAATAATAGAAAAAACAGCAGAGGATCTAGAAGGAAAAAATCTGTTGCTGTCAGTTGCCATCAAGTCGGCTCCAGCTGATGGTGACCTTATATATAACAGGACAAAACGTTGCCTGGGATGTTTCAGTTTCTTTAATTAGCCTCTGTATAATGGAATGTTGTCGATAGATCTAAGAAATTAGTGTAAAGTTCTGATTTTGGAGTATGCCTTCATTAAAACTGAGATTATTCTGTATGGTAAATGTAGACGAACATCACTATGCCTTTCTAAACCAACCTAGCAACTAGAAACTCAAAACCATCAATACCATACTCCTGTTTTTTAGGAAACCTAAATTTCCTCTAATTTCCTCATTCTAGTGCTAACTTCACAAGCATCAATGAAATCTCTCTCTCTCTCTCTTCCTCTCTTTTTCCCTCTCTCTCACTCTTATCTTTCCTCTTTAATCTGACCCTTTTGGCAGCTTGGAACAGTATCAGGTACTAACTAAACAACTACCAAATAGTTTCTTGACACAAAACAAAAGTGTCAGCAAAGGCCTCCATTATTCTCTATTTCTATACTCTCCTTGACAGACAAGTAGGCTAGTGCCGAAGGAAGTGCAGAGTGCCCTAAGCATAATTATCTACCAGTCTAAGAATAAAATTCAACTTTGTATTCCAGGTATCAAACGGAAAAATGAAGATTCTCCTGGTCTTTCTAGGTCTGCTTGGTAATTCTGTTGCTATGCCAGTGAGTATTTAAAAAAAAAAAAAAATTAAGCCTTTTCTTTGTGGTCTATTATTGCATAACTTGGGGACAATAAGTTAGCTCATTTCAGTTGATAGTCTGCATTTCTCACTGATAACTCTCTCACTTCCAGATGCAAATGCCCCGAATGGCTGGATTTAGTAGTAAAAGTGAAGAGGTATGCATGTTCGGTCTCTTCTTAAAGTACATTTTCTGAGTGTAAAGAGGATTGGGGGGAAGTATTCCAGGGCCCTAGCCTTCAAGTTCACGAAGAAGACTATCAGAAAACATTCTGGTTTATAAAATTTCTTATGAAAAATGTAGAAGGAGGGCGAATTGAAAGATTTAAACTCTCAAATCAAGGCAAAGTAGCAATTCCCCCTCACCCCCACCACTGTCATCCTATCCGAGTGCTTCAGTGATTCTTTTTAAGGCAAATGTGGATTTGTGTTAAAATCTAGTTGACGTTAGCTTCTTTACTAAGTTTGCTAGCTAGCAAATGTAGCTATTTTGTACCGAGGACTGTTAGAAGGTCGATGCTTATGCATATAATTATCCCACACCCAGGATCATTAGCCAAATTCAATATACACCGGAAAAGAAGAATTATCTTTTCATATAATTATCACATTCTCAAATCCTGAACTCCAGAAGAATGAATTGGAATATTCAAAAACTTCAAAGCAGATCAGAATTTTATTCTCTATTATTTTATATTGATATTTCTCAAAATAAAATTCTGGCTTAAAAATTAAAGCACCCTGGAAGTTTTGTTTTTGTTTTTTTTAATTGCATATTTGTTTTAAATCCATGCATAACTAGTAAAAAGAAAAAAACTATGAATATTGTACTTTGAAATCAGAAATTCAATTTTTTTTTATGATTTGTGGGTTGATTTCATAAAAAATCTCACTTTGTGTCACATTAATGGATTCCTTTGGTCACAGATGATGCGGTACGGTCAATTCCACTTTATGAACTCCCCACATGTAAGTCCTCTTCATATTATTTCTGAAGATCTCTTGTTTATATACAGATAGCTACATTATAAAGGTTTATCTTAGATACACCAAAGGCTAACCACATGTTTTAATTACAATATAATCCTTATAAGAGTTTCAAAGTGTGGAGGGGATCATCTCACTGTTTCCACAGTCCAAAATTTCTCCTTATTCATCACTACTGTTCTTTCACACAAATCGAAATCATTTACTAATTCAAGTGTTCTTTACAGACAAGGAAAATTGGTTCTGGAAAAAGATCATACAAGATTATTCACAAATAATGAGAAAATAGTCTAGCAAAAAAGGCAGGGCTGCAGATTTAGAAAATCATCAGTCAAATTCTTAAACTGAAATTTCTCTCCTACTCTGCTTTTTGGTTAGTTTGGTTAGTTGGTGTCCTAGAGGTCTAAAATTGATTTCTGTAAGATAACACTTAAACTCTAGCTAAATATTTTTTAGCTTCCATTGTTGAATCAAATTTCAAGGGTTCTCAAGTACTTGGGGGAGTTTTACAGACTGACATAATTGTGGGGAGAGCCTGAATCTCAGCCCTGGTGTGATTTCACTGTTATTTGCTTCCCTTTCAGATGTCACAACTGGGTCCCTTGTATGGAAATGGCCTGCAACTCCCTCAGCCTTTCCCACAGTACCAGATGCCCATGTGGCTTCAGCCACCACCAAACACACGGCGTTCACAGAAATCCTCATATCCCTCAGGACTCAAACGCCGCAGCCAGATTGATCAAGTCCAGGAGACTCCTAAACACGACCAACCTCAGCCAAAAAAGCCGCCACCAAAGCGGCCTTTAAAGCAGTCTCCACAAGACCCACCTCAGCCCACAGAGGAAACCCAGCCACCTCAGGTGAGGCTAGCCCAGAAACATTCTAAGTCAGAGTAAAAAATAGCACCTCAGAGAGCTTTGGAGGGCCATGCCACCCCTACATACATACTTTGCCCAATGCTCCTCAATATGAGCACTGCTATGTAGGAACCAAAGAGCCTTGACAGCCCAGTGGTTAAGCGCTTGGCTGCTAATCAAAAAGTGGGCTGTTCAAACCCTCCAGACACTCCAGCTTCTGGCTTCCGTAAAGAGTAAACCCCTTGCCATCACGTTGATTCTGACTCATAGCAACCCTGGAGGATAGGGTAGAGCTACCCCACAGGGTTTCCTGGGCTGTTCCACTGTGCCACCATGTCTCCTTGGTGAAGATTACAGCCTTGCAAACCCTATGGGGCAGTTCTACTCTGTCCTATAGGGTTGCTATGAGGAATCAACTAGATGGCAAAATGAGTTATGCAGGAACCTGGGTGGCGCAAGTGGTTTGCGACCGGCTGCTAACCTAAAAGTTAGTGGTTCAAACTCACCCAGCGGCTCCATGCAACAAAGGCCTGAAGAACTGCTTCCATAAAGATTATAGCCAAGAAAATCCTATAGAGCAATTCTACTCGTAACACATGGGTTTGCCATAAGTTGGAATCAACTCAATGGCAACAGGTTTGGTTTTGGTTTTTTATGTACACAATACCATCTTTAGTTATGACAATTTCTTTCAAGGTAATGTCATAACCACCTATCCAAAACTACCTGGTGAGTCAATTCCAGCCTCTGTTTGGCTCAAAATTACCCAAATACTATTATCTTTAAGGTACCAATTGCTGTCAAGTTGATTCTGACTTATGGAGACTCCATGTATGTCAGAGTAGAACTGTGCTCCTTTTAAAATATAGAGGCAACATGATGCAGTAACATGAGCAGTACTGTAATCTGAGAGTCGGGGAACAAAGACACAAGATCTATCCACAGCCCTTATTAGTTGTATGACTTTGAGCAAGTCACTTCATCTTTCTAGACACCAGTTTCCCTAAGAGTAATAAATTAAATGGTCTCTAAGTCCCTTCCAGATCTATGCTTTGATGATCTAAATATTGTCCTGAAAGTTAACACTGGAAGATACTTCAAGATAATGTAAGTGTAGTCCGGACTTAAAACAAGGGGAAGTACAGAAATAGTTTCTCAAGATTTCATCCAGTGTGGGGCTTCTCAGATACTGGCTTTCAGTCAGTTAACAGTTATTACCAAACACTATTATAGATGAAGGAAATAGAAAATTAAATAAAAAGACACTCCTGCATTTGAATCCCGGCTTCAATCATTTACCAGCTACAAGATTTTGGGCAAGTGACTTAACTTCTCTGAACTTCACAGTTTTAAGTAAAATGAGAATAATAATAGCATATACTTTCTAGGATTGTGTGAGGATTAAATGGTTTACCAATGTAAAATGATGAGTACAGTGCTAGCACATGAGTGTTCAATAATATCATTATTATTGTCTCTGCCCTAGAAAAAAAAATCAGTTCAATGGGAAGGAATATGTAGACTACCAGGTTTCAAATAATTATGTTTAGTTGGTTCATTTCATTTTTCACTTACTCTTCACACTTCCATACTATTTTGATTCTTTCTATCTCGCTAGGCATTCCCACCATTCCATAATGGGCTATTTCCCTACCAACAACCACCATGGCAAGTTGCACAGGTGAGAATTATTTTCTTTACACTAGATGTGAAAAATAATATTAGCCTGTTATATCTCAAACTAATATGAGTACATATGCTGTAATGGAATGCCATATACCAATCAGAAGAGAGTACGAAACTAACTCTTCACATCAGTAATCATGTAGGGGAAAAAAAGGCTTTTTTTAAATAAATTTTTCACTCGAACAGATTGGTGACATGAACACAGCCTAAATCACTAAATCACTACTAATAACTTAATTCATTAACTTTAAAGACTTGTGCTCAATACCTCATTACTATTCCTCACTGCCCTGAGAGATTAGAAAGTACCAAGATTATTCTCCTTTAATTTAATGTGGAATTAAGACAAAATGGAGTTTGAAAATCATAAGGTGAGCTATGATTAGACTAAGGTCTTTTTTCTTATTATTTTTAGCCACAAATAGAGTGTAATAAAGAATCTTGCAAAATAATATTTGTAAGAACACTCAGTTTAAAACCATTAAAATAAAGCAGAATATTGAGCTTGCACCATAGCCATAAAAAATATGACTAGCAAAATAAGCTATTTGAATTAAAGAAATATTAAATGTCAATTGCTGTTAAACTAACAAGAACAACAACAATTTGAAAACTGTTTATTGAGCTATGGCATTGGTTTTTCTGGTCTACAATCAAGAAGGCTTCTAGTTAACAAGAAGGCTTCTCGTTAACAATTCATTTCAAGGTATGAGAGTTTCTTAACTTCTTTTTTCTTAAAAGAGGGACTTCCTTTTACTGGCCATACTCAATTAAGGAATCTAAGACAGTACCAGGAAAAGATTTTCAAAGCATATGAACATGATTTTCCTGCAAAGTAGCTAGAACTTTTTGAGAGTCTGTGGAAGCTGGGACTGATTTTCTAAGCCCATCCACTATAGAGCAATCTCCGAGCAGAAACTCAGTCTCTAAATTTGATTGGGAAAATTAACCCTGGTAAAATAAAAATAACATAGTAATAACCAAAGAAGGATTGTTAGTTTATCACCTTAAGCGTGAAGTACACATATAAAAATAATATCATTATTAATTTCCATTATTAGCTGCTTCAATATGGATGTTTGGGTTCCCATGACACCCAAATATTTGTTTGCATGTGTGAGTTTGCACGTGCGTGCGTGTGTGTGTGTGTATATGTTGGAAATAGTAGAGTGGGACGATTGTTAGAAGATGCTGCCATACAGGGTCTTTTGAACAGGATAATCTAAGATCCAGCTGAGGCCTTTGTATTTACCAGTATTCACTGATGGATTATGTTACAGCTATTAATAGCTAGATTGTAGGAGCTAATGACTCAGAAGCTAAAAACTAACATTGTTAACACCCATCCCCTGACTTTAGCTATTTTAAGACACCTGAGTCTTACAAATAAGTGGCAGCATAGAAGGTGGTTTGCTGTTGTGTTTATTGGGTTTTTTTTATATTTCAGAGGATACCACCAGGTTATGGACACCCACCAAACAGCAATGAAGAAGGGGGAGTAAGTATAAGTAAAACTACATTTTCCCATTAAGAATTACAATCTTTTAATCTCTGCTTTTTTCATCCCCATCTAATAAGAAAGTTAAAACTCAGCACATGAATCTGTAGCTCAAGCACCCAAAATTAAAAAAAAAAAAAATTATAAAACAAATCAAGCCAGGAACCTAAAATAGAATGTGATATATTATTTCTCCTCTACATGTATGGAAACTTCTTTCTACATGTATGGAAATCTCCCCCTCAAAGAAGGCTAATAAGCTTTGCTCCAGGTTGATGCTGGAACCTAAACAGTGATGAAGCAATTAGTAAACAGAGAAAGAAGTAAGAGCATCTTAGGATATTACCCCTGGAAGGGAACTTAGTGCTCATCTAACTCCTTCACCGTACAAATAAAGTGAAGCCCTAACAAGTTTCACCTACTAAGTTAGTGGCTTATCTACCTTAGTAGGTGAAACTTGTCTTCTGACTCCCTAGCCACTGTCTGTTTTACTATACCTCACTAGAAGAGCCAAATGCATATGTCACAGAGTGATCTACTGCTGAATTATCCTAGCACTATGTCATCAGAAAAGTCATTTTTGTGATTGTGGCACAGCACCCCACCATGGTGTTACTTTCTCTTTTTCCCTAAATATGTGATCTGTCTTCGGTGAAATGCAGAAACCCAACAGCGCTGGAGGTTATTGTCATCAAAGATTTCTATGTCAGTAACGGCATAAGGTGCTTTTAAAAATAGCATGGTGAAATAATCCCAAATAAAAATGATAAGGTAGTTGTATTCAGCTTAGAAACTGGCAGCTCAAATTTTTACAAACATAACATGAAAAAGTGAAGCAGAATCACTCAGGCAGTTAGCATAGGCATTAAGAAGTCTGTATTCCAACTCCTGGGGACACTCCCCAATTTCCTGCATGATCATGGAGATATCTTTTCACCAATCTCATCTCCATCCACAAATGGGAATAAACTTTTTCTCTATATTGTATTTTTTCAAGAAAAACTAAATGATCTAAATGCCTCACAAATGTCTTAAAAACCTACTGACTTGACAAAGCTCATGATAATTAAATCATTTATTAAACAAAAATTTATTAAACACTTTCCACTGTGCTAGGTGCTGGACAAAGATGAGAAGCATAACGTTTTCATGCAAAAACTTCACAATCAAGTGGGAACTCCTAGGAAAATAGGCAATTGAAATCCAATGGCACAATTGTTATAACAGATGTCTGTACTGGCTGTGGACATCTGGGTGTAGAACCTAATGCTGCCCATGGAAGTCAGGGAAGCTTCCAAGAGAAGGCATCATCCAAGCTGAGTCCTGAAGGATGAGTCAAGTTTGCGAGGAAGGATAATGTGTAGATGGGGGAAGGTTCAGTATGAAGAAACCATGTGCAAAGGCATATAACATAGAATAAATACTCAGAGAACTAGAAGTAGTTGTGATTTGCAACTGCATAAATTGCAAGGGGGAGGAAATAAAGTTGGATTATTAGTCATGGGCCATATGATGATGATGGTGATGATGATTTTAAAATACGTAACACTTAATGGGCACTTACTAAGTATGAGGCAGTGAGCTAAGCCCTCTACATGTTATCACATATTGTCACTACCCTCATGACAATTATGAAGTAGACGTTATTTTATTATCTCCATTTTACGAATGAATAAACTGAGGTTAGCCCAAAGTCATACTACTAATACTACTGGAACAAGGATTTTAACCCAGGTCTGTCTAGATCCTCACTCTTTAGCATCATGCTGTACTAATTTATGTTATGCTGGAGGTTTAGAGTTTATCCTATAAGGTAAGAACTACTTAAAGGCATAATTAAGGAGGAAAGTGACAAAATTCCCAACCACCCATCCTCAACCTCCACTACTCTAACGGCCAGTGTGGAGGCAGGATTAGAGGAAAGTAAGAATACATAGAGAGCAACCAGTAAGGAAACTATTGCAACAGTTCAGGGGTTGTTGTTGTTAGGTGCCGTCGAGTCAGTTCTGACTCATAGCGACCCTATGTACAACAGAACAAAACACTGCCCAATCCTGAGCCATCCTCACAATCATTGTTATGCTTGAGCCCATTGTTGCAGCCACTGTGTCGATCCATCTCATAGAGGGTCTTCCTCTTTTTCACTGGCCCTCTACTTTACCAAGCATGATGTCCTTCTCCAGGGACCGATCCCTCCTAATAAATGTTCAAAGTACGTGAGACGTAGTTTCGCCATCCTTGCTTCCAAGGAACATTCTGGTTATACTTCTCCCAAGACAAATTTGTTCATTCTTTTGGCAGTCCATGGTATATTAAATTATCTTCACCAACACCGCAATTCAGAGGCGTCAATTCTTCTTTAATCTTCCTTATTCATTGTCCAGCTTTCACATGCATATGAGGCAATTGAAAATACCATGGCTTGGGTCAGGGGCACCTTAGTCTTCTAGGTGACATCTATGCTTTTCAACGCTTTAAAAGGTCTTTTGCAGCAAATTTGCCTAACACAATGGGTCTTTTGATTTCCTGACTGCTGCTTCCAAGGATGTTGATTGTGGATCCAAGTAAAATGAAATCCTTGACAACTTCAATCTTTTCTCCACTTATCATGATGTTGCTTATTGGTCCAGTTGTAAGGATTTTTGTTTGCTTTATGTTGAGGTGTAATCCCTACTGAAGGCTATGGTCTTTGATCTTCATCAGTAAGTGTTTCAAGTCCTCTTCACTTTCAGCAAGCTAGGTTGTGTCATCTGTATATCTCAGGTTGCTAATGTGTCTTCCTCCAATCTTGATGCCCCATTCTTCTTCATATAGTCCAGCTTCTCAGATTATTTGCTCAGCATACAGATTGAACAGGTATGATGAAAGGATTCAACCCTGACACACACCTTTCCTGACTTTAAACCACATAGTATCCCCTTGTTCTGTTTGAATGACTGCCTCTTGATCTAGGTACAGGTTCCTCATGAGCACAATTAAGTGTTCCGGAATTCCCATTCTTTGCAATGTTATCCATAATTTATTATGATACACACAGTCAAATGCCTTTGTATAGTCAATAAAACACAGGTGAACATCTTTCTGGTATTCTCTGCTTTCAGCCAGGATCCATCTGACATCGGCAATGATATCCCTGGTTCCATGTCCTCTTCTGAACCCGGCTTGAATTTCTGGCAGTTCCTTGTCAATATACTGCTGCAGTTGCTTTTGAATGATCTTCAGCAAAAGTTTACTTGCATTTGATATTAATGATGTTTTCAATAATTCCCACATTCGGTTGGATCACCTTTCTTGGGAATATGCATAAATATGGATCTCTTCCAGTTGGTTGGCCAGATAGCTGTCTTCCAAATTTCTTGCAAAGACGACTGAGCACTTCCTGTGCTGCATCCATTTGTTGAAACATTTCAATTGGTATTCCATCAATTCCTGCAGGTTTGCTTTTTGCCAATGCCTTCAGTGGAGCTTGGACTTCTTCTTTCATTACTGTTGGTTCCTGATCATATGCTACCTCCTGAAATGATTGAACATCGACCAATTATTTTTGGTATAGTGACTGTGTATTCCTTGCATCTTCTTTTGATGTTTCCCACGTCTTTTAATATTTTCCCCACAGAATCTTTCAATTCAACATTGCAACTCAGGGCTTGAATTTTTTTTTCTTCAGTTCTTTCAGCTTGAGAAATGCCGAGCATGTTCTTCCCTTTTGGTTTTCTATCTCCAGGTCTTTGCATATGTCGTTATAATACTTTACTTTTTCTTCTCGAGCTGCCCTTTGAAATCTTCTGTTCAGCTCTTTTACTTCATCATTTCTTCCTTTCGCTTTAGCTACTCGACATTCAAGAGCAAGTTTCAGAGTCTCTTCTCGCATCCATTTTGGTTCACCATACTAAGGATAAAGGAGGAGGGAGGGGACAAAGATGAAAGTTTGGGATTTATAGGACTTGGTCATTAATTGTCTAGGGAAAATAACAGAGAGATCAGAAACTTGAGAAACTGGGTAGATAGTGGTAAATGTTGCTTAGATATAGAATATTGGAGTAGAAGGTTTGGGGTGAGATGAGCCCATTTCTGGATACATTCAGTTGGAAGTACTTATGCGATCTTTAGTAGAACAGTCTTTTATTTTTTTATTTTAATTTTTTTCCCCATACAAAAATTTATACATACCTGTTATGTGACTCTAATTGCTTTCCCCATACAGTGACAGCACAATCCTCCTTTCCATCCCTGATTCCCCATGTCCATTCAACCAGCTCCTAATCCTCTCTACCTTCCCATCTCACCTCCAGACAGAAGCTGCCCATTTAGTCTCTTCTATCTACTTGAGCTAAGAAGCACACTCCTCATGAGTATCACTTTAGTCCCACAATCCAGTCCAATCCCTGTCTGAAGAGTTGGCCTCGGAAATTGTTTTAGTTCTGGGCTGATAGAGAATCCAGGGGCCATGCTTTCCAGGGTACCTCCAGTCTCAGTCAGACCATTAAGTCTGGTCTGCTTACTAGAATTTGAGTTCTGCACCCCACCTTTCTCCTGCTCCATCAGGGACTT